CTTCTCATATCAGTTATGTTGTGAAGACAAGTGGAAAAATACAACACAAATTCTAATAGTCCATACATATTTTCCCGAAGATGTTCCATATTGCTGCCGATCAGAAACGTTAGATTTTCATGAAGAGTTGATCCCAAGATTTCATCAGATATTTTAATTTGTTTGGAAGAAGATGGAAAATTCAATATTTTGTTAGAAATCTCAATTTTGTTATTTTGAACTTATTTTTTTCAGACACGAAAAACAGCGATAACTTATCGAGACGAAAAACCACGTCAAAATGTATTGGAAGTATTCATTTCTAATATATTGTCACATTTGTAGAGACATTCATTCCCTTTCAGAGTTATTACCTCAATTTGGACCTGGTTGACCCCTAAGATCACATAATATTATGTCATAAGAACCAAAATGGTTATGAAAACCTTTAATACTTTCTGATATAAAATAGGAAAACCACAACTAACATTGATGGTCATCTTCTGCTGACTTCACCTTTGTTGCTGAAATAGGCCTTCAGAAAATGACCGCAGTTCGTGTGCGGGGAAAAGAGTTTTTGTTGGATTCGCAATATATAAGCCACATAGAAGCGAAAAAGTTATCTGAACTTGATTTCAATCTTTGGCTGTATTATCGTCTGTTTTTTGACGAGACCTTATAACAAGAAGTGAAATTGATGTTTTCATTCAGAAAATGTGCTGAAGTTACATTCTAACTACAGAATAGAACATATTCGAAAGTCAAATCCTTTAAGAAGAATGTTTTCCATCTACTCTGAAATGTTTTCTGATATACTGATATTGTTTATCAGCCTTTAAAACTTTCAACAAGCTTTCTGAATACTTCCAATTAATTGATTCTGATGTAAAAACCGTCGATATCAAAAATAAAAGGTTGTTTGTGTTCATACCAGGCGGTTCGTAAGTAATGGTGAGATTTATGTCACAAAATGGGTTCAAACAACACTTGAAATCTTCTACTAGATCGAATAGAACGGGACATTTTTTCAACAAAATAATGTATTCTCATTCTCTTTTCCTAATTTCACCGAGTAGATCTTTTTATATAGGGCAATCAGATCTCGGAATAATTTTTTTTCAAATTTTTCACATGGTATACCACGTCCATACCAGAATACTTAATAATATTGATATTTATTTTCCACAAGACATATAAATAGTCGATATATGTATAATGCAAAAGCACTAAAACAGAGTACAGTCATTTAAGAATAAAGATATATNAATCAAAATGTACATATGTAATTTCTCACATTTTTGATGAAAAGTAATTCTCATTCGGCAGATGGATAATCAATCGTTAAGAAACAAATAAACAAAGTCATAAACTAGATAAATTCGAAATCATGAATCACTTTTTGCCAATTACTGGTTGATGAGTAATTCGCCTATTACATAATACTGATGATGAATCATAATAATGTTGAGGCAAAGGCGTAGTTAGCTCCAATTTTGATTAGTCTTGATTCAATTGTTTTGAAAAACATACGTAGACAAATCCAATTTCGATAGTAATGCCAATACGCAGAATATTGTGCACCAACGTCAATTCATTAGTCAAGTTTTCAAATCTGGTCGTGAAAAAAGTAGGGTCTTAAGGGTTGGATCCTAAGTAAAGAAAACTCCCGTCTTCTCTCCCGTTCATTGTAGCACATCAATGGGCAATCTTCCTGGGAAATTTATATAAAATATGTATTGTATATATCATATATACATACGCACCCATTATATTAGGCTAGTTGACACATTGAAGAATGCTCATTTTACGATGATTGAATAGCTCTACATTTCTGATGAAGATTTACCTACATGAGTGACTTTGATAGGTTAATCAGTTTCAAACCCAAAATCACGCAATCACATAAAATGTTTCGCAAACTCACATCATGCATGGACTAATATTCACATGGAGTTGGTATCATTCTAATCTCTTATAAATTTTGTCTATAATTTCGATCAACTCATTTGTGTTAATTTATTAATGCTCCATTTTTTCTTGCAGTATCAAAGTGGAGTTTATGCTGGGCAACCAAATCAAAATGTCGGATCGATGCTGCAGCAGCACCAACCGAATAGTTTTCCCAACAGGGTTCCACCAACAAATGCACATTTGGACTTTCGGGATAGACGAACATCATGGTAAATGATAAATTTAGATTCTCCATATACTACTTACTTCCATACTGTTCACCAAAATCCCCTCCAATCAGAGATTGTGAATTTTCCTACGGATGATAATGGAATATTCAAATATTTTTGAAGTCCAGCAGTTGATAGATCAAAGTGAAAAAAATGTTCTTTTGATGTTAACGAGGTGAGTGAGGTGACTGCAAAATTAGAGCAACTTTAGGAAAGGAACACGGCATTGGTATGAACCTGCTGCAGTGGAAATTGGGTAAACTGAGCTCAAAGACAATACGAGAAATGAGTGCGGGGTTTGAAAGCACCTCTGAGCACTATTGACTTGAGCTGCCTAAAAAATCTGGGAACACCATAAATGCTAATTGATCGCTCAAAAACGACTTGGAGGGGAGTTGTTGTACTGCTTAGATTTTTCAAACCTTGTTCTACAACTTTTCAGAATGATTAAACCTCAGTTGAAATTTGTTCATGAAGGAAAATTTTCAAACTAATTTCAGTGATGACGTCATCACTGGTGTATCAATGGAATCCATACTCACTATCCATTTCCGGGGCACTGGATGTAAAACAGATCAAAAGGTGTTTTGAAGATTTCATTGGAATGTTATCAGTTACTGTAATTTTTACAGAATGATACGCGAGGAATGAATGTAATGAAGGTTTCTGATGATTATGAAACTACACTATCAAACACAAACAATGACCTACTCGGAAATAAACTCGTCTCTAATATTTTGTAGCGAAGCGGAGTTTATGTTTTGAATTTTTTGCTTGATTCGGTCTCCTTGGTCACTGATATTACCAGGTCGATAATATTTCATTCCACTGTTTTCGTTTTTTCTGTTCATCAATCTTCAAAGGTTCTGCTTACAATCTCGAACACAGTTGCAGCAGAATGTGGCGGTGCACCATCCTGATGAATCCAGCTTTTATGGTCTGAATATCTTAAAAACGCTAGTTGAATCAAACTCAAATACAATATTGACCAACAATTGTATTTCGTACAGCACCATTCCATACATTCACGCTTTGTAGACGTTGTGTAAGTATTCTTGCATCAGTGTATTGTGAATTTTCATAAGATCGTTAACAAATGTTTTGCCCATTATTTTGCCCGTTTCAATAAAATTTTGCCACGTCTGAAAATAAAACGCAAGCAATGAAATTGTTATTTCTGTCACTTTGGTGCGTCATGAACTGGCAGAATACAGTTCCTTTGTCAAAGTTTCCAATATTCGAAACCCTAGATAGTCTTGGAACTGTACGATTGGATTTTCAGTTGTTGAAAGAATTGTGGCCTGTTGAATATTTTCAGGAATTCCAAAGTTGAAATTTTAATCTTTCTTTTGGATGATTTAATAATCACACGCCGTTTAAAGAATCGACAGAAAACTTCGAGCACGCAAGTTAGAGATGAACGTGGATCCAAACACACACTGTTGCAAACACAAGCTAAAGCTACGACATCACCCCAGTATAAGAAATCAATGTTTGAGTCTTTGTAGCCGCACTGTAATCAGGCAACTAAATGATAACAGAGTTCAAAACGTTGTATTTCTGATATTTCGATCTGACATATCATCATTGGTTCTAAATCTGGTAGTGGATGAAACATTCCAGATAGTTCTGTTCTAACAAACACCAATCACGAATAGAAGGTCAACGATTGAAGTAAAAGCTGCCGAAAGAAAGGAAGAAGAATACACAAAGTCATTTCATTTGGCGGTCGATTGTAACACTCCTGGATCTTAGTGAAAAAGTGTGTTACCTTCTTGAAGCTGGAATTTGAATGTTGGAGCTCATCGGAGAGGGATGCTGGGTAAAATAATTTTCAACTGAGAATTGTATAACATATTCCCTTCGACAATGTAAACATATGTGAAGGTGATCACAACAAGCTTGTGGCTCAGAAGTATACTTTTGCTCTACAGTGATAAGGTAGGTAACCTAAGTTAGTCGCAAACTAATGAATTATTCACGGTTTTTCCTTCAGCATCCAAGTTGCTCCCTTTATTGACTGTGACAGATTCAGTTTGGTTCCTGGGTTCTATGTCTAGTATGAATATATGAGAAAAGATCTTACTTGTGTACTGTCGAACTGCCAGCAATAAGATATAGGTTTTTTGTAAGTGGTTCGGCCAAACAGTAGCACTAAATGCCAATCATACCCTGCTCCTGGAGTGGCATAAATGTCACCCATTCCGCAATGTTGACATCAGAGGATGATTTTTGTTGTAGGCTGCCGGAGGCAGAATAAGGAAGATTGAGGGTGTAAATTAAAAAAAAATCTGAGCTACCCTGTACAAAATTGTATCTATGTGAAAATCAGTCGGGGACAATGAAGATAGTTTGACCATGACTGAGTTCGTGGTTGAACTGATTCCAGACGGATTTGGGAGCTCAATCCTTGAAATAGATTGCGATATTCCTTCTGCTAGGTTGGCCGTCTCGAAACAATTGGTTCTTCCATGGAAGTCAACTGTTTACTTAGCGATGAAGTGACCTATCAACTTTATGTATGGGGTATGTCTATTGGGAATACTGTTGCCGAGAAACGGTTGATTCTTCGTGATGCATTGAAGGATGCGTTGATGGCTTGGAAAAAGTCTTTTGTGCATCCTTATTCTAGTGGACGTTCATGAAGAGTCGGTAAGAGGGGGAGCATCTCTTTCTGATATTCCTAATCCAACCTTACCACATTCTCCTATTGAACAGCATGAAAACACCCGGGTAGTAAATGACCTGATATCATTCGAAGATATTCCAGCTCATCGTCCACAGAAATTATTACTGGAAAATTACAATCTGTTTCCAAGATTCAGCTCCCTAATTTGTCTGGAACCAGTTAATCCGCAAACTCAGTAATGGTCAAATTTCTCTCGAATCACCGATCTACTCTGTGCATTGTCCTCGACTGATTTTTGCATAACATTTTGTAAAGAGTAGCTCATATTTTTTTCATTTCCACCCTCAATCTTCCTTATTCTGCAGCCTACAACAGAAATAATCCTGTAATGTCAATATTATTGGGAGAGTGACATTTATACCCCTGTAGGAGCAGGCTATCTTTGGGAATTAGTGCTACTGTTTGGCTGAAACACTTACGATGGACCTAAATATATCGTATTGCTGGCAGCTAGACTTTGTTCACTCACTCAAATCGACCGCCGTGTTAGTCGGTGGTTCAAGCTCCAGGCTGAACGATCGATTTTCACTTGCTATCGTCCAACCCGTGTTAGGAATCACACGTTTAAAGGTAAGACCTCGTTAGCCCTTTACTCACAGCATTTTCGGCTTATGAGGGTTGTCGTTCGTAGGGGTGCGACAGCTGGTTAACGGAAAAACATATTTTAATAACAGATTCAAAAAAACAGATATTCGTACCAGACATATAACCCAGGAACGGAACTGAATCTGTCATAGTCAATAAAGGGTACAACTTGGATGCTACAGGGAAAACCGTGATTATTTCATAATTGTACGACTGACTAAGGTTACCTGAATGGCTTGATCAAACATCACAGGAGCCATGAGAACAACACCAACCGCGGCAATGGAATTAATCACGGGTCTGACCCCTCTTGATCTGTACATTAAGGAGGTTGCGTTAATGGCCATGGTGCGACTGCGCATGGCTGGTGTAAACCTCTAAGTAGGAATGGGTCAATTGAGGCTGGGCCTGTGGCGCAGCACAAAAGCACGAAAGAATTAACCAAGAAAGGAATTTCTCACAAAAACATAAGAATCTGCACTGACAGCAGACAAGCCCTATTAGCTTCGAACAGGCAACGTATAACCTCAGCGCTGGTACTAGAGTGTCACCAAGATTTAGCCGGTAGATGATAACATTATCCTGAGGTGGGTTAAAGGGCACGACAGGAGTAAAAGTAATCGCAACCTTTACCCACGGAAGCGGCTGGACTAAGAATTTCAGGACCAGTGACACCTACAGCCTGATGACTTCGACAATTGCGGAACTAGTTAAATGTTACCCCCATGCTCAATCCTTAAAGAGATGGGACGAAACCAAATGATGTAATCTTGCCAGGATCACCTTGGGTGAAGGGGAAGCTGGCGCCGAAGAAATATTTGGCGATGACCAGGAAAAATACACGCCTAACAGTGGGATTTCTAATTGGCCACTGTCAACTGAGGAAACACCTCCATAATATGGGGATGGTGGACACACCTCTATGCAAAATGTGTGAACAGGGAAATGAGACTGTCAGGCATGTCCTGTGCGAGTGCCCAGAGTTATCGTCAATAAGAGAGTGTGTGTTAGGATATTCTTGGCCTACACCTGCCGATATAAAGGAGATGTCTCCCAGTGACCTGTCCACCTTTCTCGAAAGGACAGGATGGACGATGACTTAGGAGGACAACTCATCGGGAGTATGTACAATGGATTACATGTGGCCTAAGTACTGTGGGCTTACACTCACCCTCCCTACTCTGCAGATACAGAACTAAGGTTACCTGCCTCATTAGCCACATTAGCCACAAGATTGTAGTAACCTCTTTCACATTCGTCTACATTGTCGAAGGGAATATATTATACAATTCTCAGTTGCAAATTATTTTATCCAGCATCCCTTATTTCAGGACCGAACTCCTGCTGAAATCCCCAATTATCTTTTATATTCAGCCTAGTATCACTGATGAGATATATTTCAGATCGAAACAGCCTTTTCTTGTATTGGTGCATGGATGTGGATCATTTTCTAACGAGATCTGTGTTCTAAAGAAAACAAGGTAAAATTTGTCTACGTGCTTCGAAGCTATGTTTCGAGATAGTAACAAAACCATTACAATATGCCCTGGGTACAAATAACTCATTCAGATTCATATTCAAGAGACAATCGCTGTTTATGAGAGCTCTTCACAAAGTAAGCAATTCAATATACGTTAATCATAAACATTCGCTTCCAATCAGCACTTGAGAATGTTCACCGACGCCATAAATCAATGATAATAATAACGCAATCGCGTCAATTGAC